CAAAAGACACACGATGCAGAAGATGCTCAAAAAAATAATAGGGGTTGAGGGGGAGGGCAGAAGTACTCCATGGAGCCAAAACACTGGCAGATTCCTAATGCTGGTTATCCTAAAACTTTAGTAGCAGCATTTTTTCTTACTTATGTTAAATATCCCTGAAAGGGGCTGAGAAGTAGCACCTGATGCCTTTCAGTGGCTGCTTGCTGCTTCCAGCTGTTCTTTATACAGCCTGGTGTCAAGCACATGAAGATACAGGTGCTGTGTGCTTGCTAGCCCTAATGGATGCTGCTCTCCAGAAGCCCCAGCTAGATGCACTTCACCTGCAGTAAGGTTCTGCCAAGCCCAAGCTCTCAACTCATTCAATGGAGATGGCAAAATTCCATTCTTAACTATGGGCTGGGGTCTGAATTTCAGACTGCGTACTGTTCAGCAGCTGTACCACAACTCCCTCTGCTGGCAATGGGAGGTTTACACAAAGATCAAAGGTTAGATATGGATGTTAGGTAGTATCTAAACTTTATTTATTTGGTACATTCTTGTCATTCAGCATCACTCAGTGGGGGAAATAGTGGCATTTTGACGAGCACTGCTGTTTAATCCCTTTTGTCTTTGTGGTTCACTCTGACTTTTTGTGCAGCTCCCTGGTTCTTCCCTGTACCAACCCCGCCAACATTCCATCCACTATACTGAGCAATATTGATATAGCTAATGTCAACATTAAGTGTTTTCATTAGCCTTTGGCATTGACTCTCCACGGAGATTAGTAAGGGGCTGGGGTGTTATTTCAGGCGGGCTGCAGACTGAGGAAAGCAAGTGTGTCAGTTATACTCAGCTCCCAATTTGTAAAGGTTTTCTTTGCAACTCTGAGAGCTAGAAACATAGAAAAACTCAGATTGTACATCACCTGAATACATCACGTGGACTATGTTAATACGTGAAGCAGGCTCTGCATTGAGCCAAGGCTTGAAAATAAGCATTCTTCCAAGATCAAAATACTCTGCATTCAAACAGAAAATAGAAATCTGTAAGAGCACCACCTACTACTATCCCTTCCAGCAGGGTAGAGAACTCCCTGCTATTGTCAATTTTGTCTTGAATGAAATATTCATGATTCTAAGGCAAAGAAGATTTGAACAGAGAGTTCAGTACAGTTGAGGGTGCAATGGTAGGAAGGGAGAAGTATTATTAGATTTATTTAAAAAGAAAGGGGGGATCCTATTCAAGATGCCAGGTGTCCCTGCCATGAACTAAATAAACAGAATTAGATTATGTATAAAACACCCAACTCTTCTCTCTCCCGCCCATCTGATGAATCTCAAAGGCCCACCTCCATAGCAGCCCACATAAATAGGCATGTTTTGCAGTATATTCTGAAATTCAATAATCTGGGGCTATTTCAGACCGGAGAGGAAGCCTGTGTCAGCACAGAGGCTGCTCACAGAAACCACCACCACCACCAGCCCCTGCTCTTTTAAATCAAGGAGGATCCCACACAAATGCCTTCACTGATTGCAGTTGTGGCAGTGTGGCACAGAGAGAGACAGTCTCTCTAGCGGCAATATCCCAGCCCATTTAGGGCTTTATAGATCAAAACCTGCAGTTTAAATCAATCTAAAAAACAACAGGTAGCAATACTGATCATAAATCACCAGTGACACATGCCGCCAACAGGAAGCCTTGCTTTTATAGATGGCTGCTGCTCAATTTCTGTACCATCTTAAATTTCCAGATAGATCTACTGCTATGTGATCATCCAACAAGACAACAGCTTGGGATCCAATACAACCCCCACTTTGCGAACACAGGTAATGTGATGGGAGCATAGTCTCCATCAAAGGGAGGTAGGATTACTTATTGCATTCGTGCATTTTTAATAAATAATGGGCATGCCAGCTTTGCACCACAGGTGCCTTATGTACTACAACTCTATTCCGTAAGTTATAACCAATGGCCATGCATTTGATCACAAAAGTATTGCCTGAAAACATCACACAAGGACAGTATGTACTGTGTGTATATATAGTATCTTTGTATCCTAAACATGATACTGTGGCGCAGTATTAATCAGAAATAACGCTTAGCTTCTATTTTCATACAGTAGCCTTCGATATCCTTGAAAGGTCACCCTAAGCAGCAGCACTGCCACAGGATTTGTTGCTTAACAAGAGAACGCATTGACGAGGATACTACATTTCCCACAATGCATTGCTTGGGCGTCCTACGGTGGCCTGTAGTTAAACTCAGCAATCCTTTATCTATTCGCCTCTTTAAATGTTAATCAGCTGACTGAAATTCTTCACAGCAGCTATGGCTACCTTCCACGCAGGATTGTTAATGGGTTGGCGTGGGTGATTTTAAATTTAAAAGATTAGAGAGAGAGCAATGTACTGTTCCCTGAGTGCATAACACAGAACGATATCAAAGTATATTTCGGTGAAGTTTTTTATTTAAGCCTTGAAAATCTATTTAAATCCCCCCTCCACTGAAATCATTCCTGTTGTATGCATAGCCAACACGACTAAATACATAAATAAACATGGGGGAAATACTGCATAAATTGATCTCCCCTCCCAGAAGTTTGCCCACCTCAATGTTTAGCAAATGCCTTCTTTTGTTTTTTGTTTGCAATGCATTTGATATACTTTTTTGCATAAAAATGGGATTTTCTATCCCTCGCCACCGTTTTTCCCCTTTCAAATGATTTCTGTTGAGGTTCGGGACTTTGCAAATAATTTAATGCATTACTTTTCCACCCCTGTAGTACTTTTCTGTTTGCTGCTGCTGTTCTATCTAAATTTTCGTTCTAGCACAGCATGTTAATATAGACTCGTTTGCATGAGCCACTCCAAGATGAATGGTGGGTTTAAAAAAAAAAAAGATTTTTATTTTTTTAAAACCTGCTGGTTTCGTTACGCATCCACGTCTTTGAAAAAAAATCCCCTCGTGTTTAATAAACTGTCACATACACGTTAAACTGCTGCTAAAGTACACGAGGCACTCGATGAAAATGTAGCTGCTGAATGAAGCAACAGCGTCCGGCGTTTAATCCCTGTGTGCCTATTGGTAAAGCAATTGATCCACAATTTGGATCAAAATATTTTAGGAGATCAGATCCTACCCCCTTCTCACCTAATATTCTCACTTTTGCCTAGAGCTCACTGAATAACTTTTCTCCCCTTAAACTATCGAGCTGCACCTATTAGGTTGTCTCTTTCTCTGCTTCATGTATTTATTTATTTTTAAATCGTGTGTTCACCTCTCCCCTTCCCCCCCAATTAAAATAAACACCCATCTGAATTAAAAAGGAGAAAGCTATTAGACGGGGTAGACAAGCACACAAAGAGAGGGCTGGAAAGAAACAGATATGGAAATTTTCAAGGACAAATGGTTGATTATTTAAATCCTGTATCTAAATAAAATAATTCTTCCCGTGCATTGTTTATAAACTGACAAACTATTTGTCTGATTGTTCCCTATGTCATACCCTGTAATTGAGTTGGGAAGGGGAGGGGGGGTCCCGATCTGTGGGTCTATGTATGTATATATATTTGTTTGGTGGTGGTTTTCGTGTTGTTAGGATTCCAGGTTATTTTATGGCTATTAAAAAGTGTTTCAGATGTATTTTAACTCTCTCCATCTGAAGTGACTCGGTACCATAAGGTCTCAGATTTCAGCCCCGCACCTTACTTTTTGCGTCCACGATGTTATTTTATTCATATTTGTTATAAAAAATAGAAGGCAAAGGGGGAAGAAAAAACAACCTATCCTTCCAGCAAAATGGCGATGGCACGTACATTTAATCCCCTAATAGAAATTAAACACTTTCCCAAGATATGTATGTAAATTACGGTTACACTAGCGATAATCTGCCCCTCTCCCAGTCCCAGGCTCCCCCTCCCCATGTCCCCTCAAAGAGGGTGGAAATATGTTTTGAAAGGATAAGATCGATTCCTCACTAAAAAATGCAGGAGGAAATAAAACAGCTCAGGATTGCCCCTGTGCAAGTCCCCAAAGCAGTTTGTGGGGGGCAAACGGGATGGGGAGGGGACAGGTGCAGCCCCGGGGGTACCTGGCTGGGTATGTGTGGAGGGCTGGGGTAAGGTATGAGGCGTGTGGGGTGTCTGTGTCCCCCAATTTTTTCTCCATGGCAGCTGGGTTTGTTATTGTTTAGGAATCTCTGTGCCCAGTGCAGTGGTTTTTGGGGAGAGGGACAATTGAGAGACCCCCCCCTGCCCCCGGTGCCCCCCATATAGCTCAGGCATAGATGGGGCATGTCCCCTGCCCGTGTGCCCCCAGCCCCAGGCAGGGGGCAGCCAGGGGGACTCTGGGGGAGGGGGATGGCTGCAAACTTCCCATCTAATACCAAAGAAAGTTTTGCAGAGCAGGAGTTTGGGGAGGGGGCAGGAGTGGGGGTCCCGGGGCTGGGGGCGGGAGGTTCCCCCCGGGGACCCCCCCCAGGCTTGGGGGAGCCACCCCTCCCCCCCTCCCCGGCCAGGTCGGGCTGCGCCTCGCCTGGCTCGGGGCTCCCTGTGTTAGTTGGGGTCTGTTCCCGGGGCCCCCGAGGGGGTCCCGGGGCCCGCAGCGGGCCGGGATTGGGGTCCCCCGGCGGCCCAGACCTGGCCCTTGCCCCCGGTGGCTCGGCCCGGGCCGGGCCCCCCCCGGCCGCCCGGCTATGGGGGCGCAAAGGGGAAATGTGGCGGGACCCCGGCGGCACCCGGCGCCGTTTGGGGCGGCCTGAGCGGGCGGGGGGCGGCGGCGGCGGGAGCAGGGCCCGGCGGCGGGGAGCCCAGGGACCGGGGCAGCCGAGGGCGGCGGCGGAGGGGCGCGGGGCCGCCCGGGGAGGGGGAAAAGGGCCGCTTGGGGCGGCGGAAGAAACACAGATGTCGGCGGCGCGGCGCCATTCGGGGCCCTGAGCAGGCAGCCAGCAGCCCTGTCCTCACCGCGGTCCGCGCCGCGGCGCTAAATACCCGGATGCGCCGGCTGCTGCCTGGAGAGCCAGACACAGCGCGGGAGGCGGAGAGGAGGCAGAGCCGAGCCTGCTGGGGGGGACCGAGACCCGCAGACGGCGGGAGGGGCGGCCACTCACAGCCTGACAGACACAGAGGCACAGACCAGGCCCACGAGGGACCGAGCCACAGAGAGGCACCTGGGCCCACCACCGCCAGGAGGGGACGCCGGTTGCAAGGGGGCGAACCCGTCTGCCCGTTGCAAGGAGAAACCCCCTGCCCGGTGCCCGTCTCGCAGGCCGGCCTTCCGCGCGGCCACTGGGACGAAGCACCGCACGTGGCGAGAGCATCTGGGAGGCAGCGGGCAGCAAGGCGGCTTGAGGACCCTGTGCACAGGGCTCTTCTGATTCCCTTGGCCCAGAGGGAAAGCAAAAGATGACAGAGAATTCCGCCTCAGCCCCTGCCGCCAAGCCCAAACGGGCCAAGGCGGCCAAGAAGTCAACAGATCACCCCAAGTACTCTGACATGATAGTGGCCGCCATTCAAGCTGAAAAGAGCCGGGCCGGCTCTTCTCGCCAGTCCATCCAGAAATACATTAAGAGCCACTACAAAGTGGGGGAGAATGCTGACTCCCAAATCAAGTTGGCCATCAAGAGGCTGGTCACCACTGGTGTCCTCAAGCAGACCAAAGGGGTTGGTGCGTCTGGCTCTTTCCGCCTGGCCAAGGGTGATGAACCGAAGAAGCCACCCCCAGCTAAGAAGGCCAAGAAGGAAGTCAAGAAGGCCACGACACCCAGGAAAGCAGCTAAACCCAAGAAAGCTGCCACCAAGTCCCCAGCCAAGAAGCCCAAAGCTGCCGCCAAGAAAGCCAAAAAGAAGCCAGCAGCCGCTCCAAAGAAAGCCAAGAAGCCAAAGACTGTCAAGGCCAAGCCAGTGAAGGCATCGAAGCCTAAAAAGGCAAAGCCATCGAAACCCAAAGCAAAGTCCAGTGCGAAGAAATCAGCCAAGAAGAAGTGAAGTGCAAGCCTGGGATCTTCTTTCTTGGACACTCTTCTTCACCTCTACTTCTGTAAATAGTTTTCTCCTTTATTCTCTTCTCTCTTTCTATTGCAACTTTATAAAAGACTGGACTATTATTTCCCTGAAATAGTTAAAATAATTCAATTACTAAAAAAAACAACAACGCAGTACTGAGACTTGTCTTATAAGTGTTATTGGTTGTTTTTTTTTCCGTTGTAATCTTAGAGCTCTCTATTTTTTTTAATGTATGAAATACTTATCTGTGTTTTGGGAGCGGGGGGAATCCATGTTGGATAAAAGGGAATTGAGTTCCCCAGTCTCCTACCAGCTCCAGGGTATCATACAGGTAAATTGGCTGTGCATGGAACTTGCCCATGCCAGAGTATGGGGACAAAGATCCCTAAATGAAGGGGGTCTGAGAAAAGTAATTATGCTGGAAGATCTTGACCACATGGGATAAATTGCTGTAGCATAAATTACATTTTCTTTAACCTCAATCTGATGGTTCAGCATTTCCCATATATATATATATATATATATATATATATATATATACTAATGACAGGGAGACCAGCTCATGATGCATGTGGTGTGTCTTCCCCACCCAGTGAGAGGAATGGACTGGAGTTGGTAATCTGTCCACCTACTTTGTTCTTTTGGGAGGAGGTTGCCATTTAACTGAGAGGCTTTAAATGGGGATCAGTGGAGATTTCCTGGTGGGATTTGCAAAGTGGATTTTTCCTAAAAAGGATGGATTTGCAGAAAATCGTGGGTGATGGCATTGAAGTGGAAACAGAGGGGTGAGATCTAATTCCCCCACCCCCTCAAAAGAAATGAGAGAAAAAAGAGGTTCTGCTTCCAACTACATGAGAAGCATCATCCTAATCCCTTCAGAGTCTAATATCTTGTGGGTTAAGAGAAGGGGTTAAGAAAACCATCCCTTCACCACTGACTGTTATGCTGGGTTCTCTGAGTGCTTTCCAACTCTGCAGCGCCCACTTCCTGATCCATAGCTTTGGTATGTAGCCATACATCTACAATAGAAAGGACACTCAACCGACAGTTTCTTTAGGTGTGGATTTTTTTGATTGGTTGGGGGGGGGAGAAATGTAACCGATACTGAATCTGTCAAAAGTTGCTTTATGGAACTGGAGCTGTGTACTGTTATTGCTTCAGATGGGGCAGGGAGAGTTGGGGAGGGGTGGTTGGGAGGGCAGTGTGGAGGGGATATTTCCAATATTCCAATAAATACAAAAAAGTATACTTGGTGGGTTTGCTGTTTAAAACCAAGTGAAAATCTCATAGGATTGACGCTTGTTCATTTTATTTTGTAAGTGTAATTTGTGCAGGAAATAATTTGCTGTATTTGTAATTTTAGAGTTTAAAACAACAACAGCAAATAAATAGAGGAAGGTTGAAATTTCCCTCATTCACTGTCTTCTTTGTATTCTTTAGTATTTAAAAATACACAAGCTGGAGAAGGGAACACGGGGAGAAAGGGTTATGCGAGTGTGCACACATGGTTGGTTGGTAAGGTGTGATTCTTCTTCCAACTTGTAAAAACACTGATAGCTCTCTGGTATGTAAGAAGGTGCTGAAGGGATAAGGAAAGTTTGCTGGTGCCTGAACTATGGATAAACCCTAGACCTAGAGCATGGGGTGTCACACAGGGTCGGAACAATTGAAAGAGATTGGGAGGGAAAGCTTCCTTCAGTAAAAGGGAGTGGTGATGAGGGGCATTTCACAAGCATAAATGCCACCTGGCTTCTAGGTTGACAGACTGGGTATCCAAGCTAGAATACCCTGAGCACAGAAAGTGTCCAAATCACCTTCCATCTTTCCTGATTTGTCAAATGGACTCTGCCACTGAAATATTGTCAGTGTACTAAAAGAATCTTTTACTGCATCCCAGCTGGCTGTGGAAAAGCAGACTGTGAGGCCACTGCTCAGGCACTCTGTTTCTGGGGACCATTTGTACAATTTTGCCGATGCTTTTCTGTCCTGACCTGTGCTAGCCTTTGCTATTCCAAATCTTGGCTAGAGTGGCAGATTTAACAGTAAGAAGGGTCAGCAAATGCTGACTGCCTCCCCCCAGTCTGGGTCCCCCATCTCCCTCTCCCATTTGCCAGTAGCAGAGAAGCAAAAAGATGGGCCCCAATCCAGGTTTAGATTGTGGTCCCCCACATGCCATCACATGTCCCACATTCATTAAAATAAACTCTCACCTCCCCCACCCCTGCAGTCATCTCTGCCTCTCCTCCCCCGTTCCCCTCCTCCCCGGCTCCATGCTTTGCCATCTGCTCTCTCTGGCCTGGACTGTGCACCAGTTCTGCTGCCTCCTAGAGCGAGGACCACTGCTCCCACCAAAGCCAGAACTGCTGTCGTAGAAGCCAGAGCCATGAATCACTGCTGCTGCCACCAGAGTTGGAGTCAGAGCTGCGAGGAAGAGCAGGTTTGCTGGTTGCTGCTGCCCACATTTGAATTTGCCTGGTCAGTTGGAGGGGAGGAGGGGCCTCCGACCATTGGTGGTACCTGCTAATCAGAATTCATGGCACAGCCACCATTTTGGAGGCCTCCCTCCCCAGGCAAATTCAAAAGTGGGCAGTGGGGACCAGCGCATTGCTCTTTCTACAGGTCCCAGCAGGCTGCAAACAATGGCAGCAGCGTATATGTTGTGTGGCTGAGCAGTGCTGAGCCTGCAGGGGTCCTCCAAGTGCATATGTAACCCACACACCTTCTGGGTGTGATGTTTTGTCCCCTCTAGTGGCACCGAGACCACTTAAAGAGAGCGATAAAATGGGTCTGCTCATGCTGTAGTGTAGAGGCTCATGCACTAAGCTCCAGAGGTCCCAGGTTCAATCCCGCCCGCTGACGACTGGGGTCTATTGGCGTTACACATGGACCCCGAGCAGCTGCACCACCTGTTCCTCTGCCATCTGCCCCCCCCCACTCGATTCTAGGACCCCACTCTCACAAGTAACTTAGTCAGTCACCATGGCAAGGGGGCAGGGGTCCTCTTGCTGCTTCAGGGCAACTGCATGAGTTGCATGTGTCTACACTCTAACATCTCACCTGGCCATCAGCCCTGGGGTCCCATTCACCAACCTGTCCTGCTCTGCCTTTGCAAACTTCCCACAGCATTTGAGCATGCCCAGCAGTGCCCGGGAGTAAAAGGAATTTCCTACCCTATCCAGAGTGGTAGCCGTGTTAGTCTGTATCACCAAAAAGAATGAGGAATACTTGGGGCACCTTAGAGACTAACAAATTTATTTGGGCATAAGCTTTCTTGGGCTAAAACCCACTTCATGGGATGCATGCAGTGGATAATACAGTCGGAAGATATATATATATACACAGAGAACATGAAAAGACTGGGAGTGGATGGGTCATTACACAAAACATCTACCAATGTGATATATGCCATCATGTGCCAGCAATGCCCCTCTGTCATGTACATTGGCCAAACCAGACAGTCTCTATGCAAAAGAATAAATGGACACAAATCAGATGTCAAGAATTATAACATTCAAAAACCAGTCGGAGAACACTTCAACCTCCCTGGACACTCGATTACAGACCTCAAAGTCACAAAACTTCAAAAATGGACTCCAATGAGAAACTGCAGAATTGGAATTAATTTTCAAACTGGACACCATTAAATTAAGCTTGAATAAAGACTGGGAGTGGATGGGTCATTACACAAAGTAAAAACTATTTCCCCATGCTAAGTTCCCCCCCACACACACACTGTTACTCACACCTTCTTGTCAACCGTTTGAAATGGGCCATCCTGATTATCACTACAATTTTTTTTCTCCTGCTGATAATAGCCCACCTTAATTGATTAGTCTCATTATAGTTGGCACGGCAACACCCATTTTTTCATGTCCTCTGTGTATATATATTTTCCTACTGTATTTTCCACAGCATGCATCCGATGAAGTGGATTTCAGCCCACAAAAGCTTATGCCCAAATAAATTTGTTAGTCTTTAAGGTGCCACAAGTACTCATTCTTTCTACCCTATCCAGCAGGGGTTGCAGCCACTGGGCATGCTCCAGTGCTGAAGGGGCTGCTGCTGGGAAATGTAGTTTATTTCCATAGCCTCCTCTTGCTGTGGGACACTGAGAGGCGTGTGTGTCTGCCTGTTCCAGACTCTCCCACAGCACTCTCCGCAGCCATTCCGCAGTCTAGTTCTGCCTGTCACTGCTAAATTCTGCAGAGACAATCAACATTTTTTTAGGACTACCCTCTCAACTGAAGGATAAAATAAGAAGCACAAAAATACACTCTATTTAGACCTAGACTTCCAACTTAGTTATTCTCATACTGGAAGATGTCTGAAAACGAAAACCATAAACACACATACAAGTCTGGTTTTAGAAAACAAAAAGACATTTATTACAAACTGCCTCCGGAGATCCTAAGCAGCAGAAACGATCATTCTTCTTCGAGTACAGTACTTGCTCATGTCGATTCCATGTTAGCTGTGTGTGCGCCACGTGCCCTGCTGCCCGACATTTTCCTGCTAGTTGTATCCATAGGGCCGACTCTAGCATCCCCTGGTGGCCTGCACTCATGCACCAGTATAAGGGGTGCTGCCGGCCCCGCCTTCCCTCCAGTTCCTTCTTACTGCCAGTGACGGCTGCTGGAACAGTCCTCTTCTCTTGCTTCGACAAGTCTCCCCTAGTGGTTTACAGATCTCTTCTGGTAAATAGTTAGTAGTTGTCAGTTCTAGTTCTTGTTAGTTAGCTAGTCCCCTTAAGGGACGTCGATCCCAGGACGGGGCATGCCCTGATCCTCAGGCTTCAAACCATATGCAGCCTATACTGAACCCATGCCAGTGCTGGTGAGCAACCCCCATTCCAGCTGCCAAAAGTGCTTGGGGGAGACTCACGTCCAAGATAAGTGCAGGATCTGCAGGGGCTTCTGGCCGCATACCCCAAAATACCGTTTTCTTCAAAGATAAGGTCTGGCTGCTTCCGCACCCAGCCTTTCTATCCAACATGGTGTTGCAATTTCACATCAACCAAGACATCTTTCTGCTGGTCTTCTTCCAAAAACCTCACAAGACAGAAGAACAGCGTCTGCATTCTCTGGACATTAGAAGGGCCTTAGCCTTTTATATTGACAGGACAAGACCCTTCCGCAAATCGACGCAGCTTTTTGTTGTGATAGCAGACAGAATGAAAGGGCTCCAGGTGTCAGCCCAGAGGAACTTGTCCTGGATCATGGCCTGTATCCGGGCCTGCTACGAGCAAGTGGGGACCCCACCTCCAGCCATTGTAAGGGCCCACTCAACAAGAACGCAAGCATCTTCAGCGGCTTTCCTGGCACAAATACCAATACAGGACTCTGTCAGGGCCGTGACATGGTCATCAGAGCACACGTTTGCATCTCACTACGCCATTATCCAACAGGCCAGAGCCAATGCCAGTTTCAGGAAAGCTGTGTTATAGTCAGCATGCCCCTGAACTCCTAGCCCACCTCCAGAGATGCTGCTGGTGAGTCACCTAACATGGAAT